TCTGTTCAATTTTTTTAATTATTTATTTTTTTCCTTTATCTGTTTAAATATCTAACCAAATTTGATAAACTAACCCCTTATCTGTTCAAATAACTAGACAAATTTAATAGCCAAACCAACCCCTATCTGTTTAATTTTTTTTTCCTATATGCTCTCTCTCTCCTACTATATGTTGCAAATCATCATCATCAACAATAATCAACAACAACAACAACAATAATAATAATAATAATAAAATCCATAGCATATTTATAAAGAGGAAGTCACATATTTTAAGTTTGTATAAACATATCTATGTTTATATCCCTTCGTTTGGGATGTGAGTTGATTTTTTAATTTTTTGACTTTTTGATTAATTTAGCTTGGGATTAAAAAGTCTCGTTTAGGATGGACTTTTTAATTTTTTTGGCTTTTTTGAGAAAAAAATTAAATGATTAGGGTTTGGATGTGTTATTTTGTCTTATTGACTTTTTAACTTATTTAATCTTTTTATGCTATTTTAATCCAAATGTGGTATGCCAAACATAGCCATATAAAAACACATATCTAGCCCATGGGTGGTTGGTTATAGAAACCCCGACCTCTGATTAATGTTAATTCATGATTAACTAAGCCTAATCAATAATTAAGGTGAAATTTTAAATTAATTACATGTGTGTGTCACATTATTATGCTTATATTTGTTTATCGTATAAATATCTATTTGTATTTCTATTTCGTTTTACGAATTGAAGGTCTTATCGGCATCTGATTACGAAATTGACTTGATTTATGTGCTATTTAGGATTTTTAGAACATTATGGTAGGTTTAATTAAAATTCGATTCAGAATGATTAAATTAGAATAATTAATGTCTAATTGAGTAGCTTAATCAAAATTTAACTAAGTCACAAACTAAGCCTATATAAGGCCCATATGAACTCATTTACACTCTCCTATCACCCTACCGTGAAGAGAAAACGTAGCAGAGAGATAGAAGAAAAATTGAGTTCAAAGTTAAAAAAAATTGGGAATTGCAAAGAATTGTTGGGGATTGCAAAAAAATGGGAGTTGAAGTTTATACACTTGTGCAATTAAGACTCTAGATAAGAATTTTGTCCTTAAACTTTGTAGTCAAGACTTTAATACAAGAATTCTTGAGAATTAAGCTAAGTTATGCAAGTGATGAGCTAATGAATTAGAAAGGAGGATCATTCCATGCATGCATGCATATATCATGGCATTTTGAGTTTGAATTTCATTCAAGTCATACTTGCATGTGTCCATCTTGACTTTGTTTTGAGAATTCATCACATTTCTTATCACATGACCTTAATTGATCATGTTTTAGAAGCTTTGAAGTCAAGATAGAGCATGTATGTTGGGTTTTCAAAGAATGGAGTGTTGTTTTGCACAATTGGCAAGCATTTGGGCTTTGATTTTGTGAAATGATTTTGAATTCACCATGTTTCATCCATTTACAAGTGTTTCCTCAAGTTTTTGGCCCAAAAGACCATGATTTGCAACTTTGAAATTGAATTTTACACTTGGTAGAGCAATCTGAAAATTCTTGATTTTGCCTCTTTGCTCAAGCGATAGATCCTGCACTCGAGAGACCACTCCATGATTTGCACCTCAGCTCAAGCAACTTTTAGTTGGCTCGAGCGTAAAATGCATGCTCCCAGAAGTTTACATGTTTTGCAGACCGCTCGAGTGACAATAGTTGCGCTCGAGCGAAGACCTTAGTCATACGCTCGAGCGATCGTTGACTGGTCGTCGAGAGGAAATTTCACACAACTAGAACTCTTGTAGAGTTTACAGACCTCTCAAGCGAGAGAAGTTGCGCTCGAGCGACCACTCACATATTTGGACACCCGCTCGAGCGAATGAAGTTGCGTTCGAGCGAGACCTCTATTTTCAGCAAATTTGATTAAGTGTTTTGAATCACATTTTGGCATCCTCATTGCATTCTAGGCATTCCTAAGCCCTATTTAAGAGAAAATAATAAGGAAAAGAAGTAAAACACACCAATATAAGAAAGAACTAAGTTACAATTCTGGGTATGTGATTTTGTATGTATTTGTTCTGTATCTGTATAGGTCACGTGCCGCAAGTTATCTGATCTGCCTACTCTGTCTGTTTGCTTTGGAGCCATTTGTGAGTAATAACTCTGTAAAGTTATGTTTAACTTCAACTATTTTCTAATGATATAAAATGATCTGTTTTCTGAAACGTTATTTTCTGAATCATGAATGAATGTCTATTTTCCTGATATATAATTGTGGCATTCTATATTCACGTGGCCCTCACCCGAGGGTAACTATACCATGGTCTATATGCACGTGGCCCTCGCCCAGGGGTAACAATACTGTGGCTTATGTTCACATGGCCCTTGCCCGGGGGTAACAATACCGAGGTCTATACTCACATGGCCTTCGCCTAGGGTAATAATATCATGGCTACTTGTGCACAAGGTGTGGACCCATGTGGTCGTCGGTACCTGTGACAACCCTCACCACTGATTAGTGCTAATCTATGATTAAGCATGTTAAATGACTGATTGACTGAAATCCTGAACTGATTGATTGAATGTATAGCTTAAGCGCATTTCTATCTGTTGACTGTTGAATGATCTGTTCATGTTTTGCGCTTTAAACTGTAAATTGAAGGCCTTAGCGGCGGCCGAATCTGAAATCGAGTAATGTTTTATGCTAGTTAGAATTTATGTGATTTCATGGCATGTTTAGTTGAAATTTGATTTGGTATGATTAAATTAGATTAAATGAAGTTAAAATGCATCAACTTGAGTTATTTACCAAAATGCCACTTAGTGGACTTTCATGAGCCTTTTATTGATTTGTATATGTTAGCATTATCATCACATTTCCTCAGCCATTTGAGAGCCAAACTGACTAGAGAGAGTGAGAGAGAGGAAAAAACTTGATTTCAACCAAATTGGCTTGGAGGCTTAGGAGATTGAAGGATTCCTTGCATATTGAGCTTCTACATTTGAAATTAGAGACTTAAGGTAGAGAATTTACCTTCTTGTTCATATTTTGGGTTGGTTCTTGCATGTTTTAGAGGATTGTTGGAGTTTACAGCCAAGTTATGGCTTAAATTGTTGAATTGAAGCTTGAATCATGCATGCATGTACATATTCTCGCATTTTGAAGTTGATTTTCATGAAATCTTGCATGCAAGTTTACATTCTTGTTCTAATCCATGAGTTCATCATGGTTTTGAGTTTAATCTTGCTTTGGATCATGTTTTGAGGCATTAGAATTCACTAGAATTCATGCATGTCATATGTTCTTCATGTTCATGAAAACTTTTTTGAAATTGTGTTTAATTGAACTACCTTTGAGCTTTGATTTCTCAAATTGATTTTTGAAACATGTCATATTATGAGTTTACAAGTGTTTTCCAGAAAATTAGCCCAAAATGATCGAATTTGATGCTTTAAATGTTGATTTTGAGCTTAGAGGTTCAATCTGGAAATTCCAGAATTTGGACCGACGCTCGAGCGAGGAACTCCACTCACGAGCGTACGCTTTGTGTTCATGCAGTCCGGTCGAGCGAGAAAAGTGACGCTCGAGCGTGAAATGCGTGTATCCAGTACATTGCATGTGTTTACAGCCCGCTCGAGCGGGGGAATGCACGCTCGAGCGAGGACTTGTGTCTCACGCTCGAGCGGAGGTCGAGCGCCCATCGAGCATGAATTTCACCCATCCAGTACTTTTGCAGTCCGCTCGAGCGGAGTAAGTCACGCTCGAGCGGGGCTCTTTTGTCTGCATGTCCGCTCGAACAGGGAAACCCACGCTCGAGCGGGACCCTATTTCAGCAAAATTTTGAAAAGTATTTTTAAATGCATCTTTGCATCCTCATTCCATCCTAGGTATTCTTAGGCCTAGTTTAAGGCATCTTAATGAGGATATTGATGTAGAACCACACCAAGGCAAATTAGGGATTAAGTTATTATTTTCCAACTGTGTAGCTTAGTATGTGTTCGTTCTGTAACTGTGTAGGGTTAGCATCCGAGGACGCTCCAGCTGCTTATAACCCAGTGCTCTGTGAGCAACAATGTTGTAAAGATATGTTCAATCATGAATATTTTCTGAATGAACAACTGTACTGCTTTCTGAAATGATATTTCTTACTGAATGAATGTTTGTCCTATTTGTGAACTATATTCGTGGCATCCATAACAATTTACTGTTACTGTACTGTACTGCTACTGTCACAGAGATCTCTGTTGGTTCCCATGTTTAAAACCGGAAACCGGACTCCGAAATGGGCGAAATGGCCTACGACCACAAAATGTAGCCCACGGCCACTGAGAGATGGTTTACAGGACCTCTCCCTCCCCTCAGGAAAAGAAACAAAGAAAACCGAGTCTGGTTCGCAAACCGAGGCAAAGTACAAAAGAGGGTTCGGAAGTCCGGAGGCAGGGCTCACGGCCGTGACTCTGAAACTTCTGAACGAGCACATTATGCAATATCACCAAGTGCTCAACTGGTGACGTCTGAGTCTCAAGGTCGGTCAAAAATGGGGTGTCTACACTTAGATTCACCCTATCTGTCTCTGTTATGTATAGACTGAATGATAATTGTACTGTATTGTTATGGTGGGGATTTGGTCCCTAACCTGAATGCCTGTAAATAATGTACGCATATACTGTTTTTGTTCTGAATGTGAACATGTTATGAAAAGTCTTCTGCCAGCCCCTGTACTCTGTGTTACTGTTTTACTGTTAAGCAGGCCTTCGGTAATCTCGGATTACTGGCTAGTTGTGGTGCTAAACCCATATGGGCGGGTTTGGGTCATAACAGTACTGACTATTCAAATTTGATATATTATGATAGTTAAATGGATGTACTACAAGCATCTGCTTATGATTTCTGGATAAGTATATGGGTCTGAATTTGTTTTTGATCTGAAATATGATATGGGACATCATTCATTAAACTCTTTACTTTGTTATTATTCATTAGGCTGAGCTCATCATTTATGTATATATGTAGGTAACCAGGCGCGTGGCCAGACTCAATGAAGACCGCCTAGAGAGTTTTTGTCAACCAGTCTTTGTGCCTCTTGAGGAGGTTCCGTACATCTTGTGGCCATGTTTTGTGAACGTATAAGGCTTTGTTTTCTCTCCAGATTATGAACAAGTTTCATGTTAACTGTATATTGGGCTAAGTCCCTTTTGGCTATATCTGTAATTAATGTGACGTAAGACTACTACATTATGACGTCACGTCCATGTGTATAAGGTTTAAAAATTTACAGTCCCATATATGTCTCTACAGCTCAATGGACTATGTATGTTTCTTTATTTGCTTCCATAGTCCCTAATTATACGTTATCACGTTCAGAGGCCTTTGGTAATCTAAGGATTACTGGCCGGTTATGACGTTAAATCTATGTAGATGGGTTTGGGTCATGACATTGGCAACTTGGAAAAGGCCTGGGGATTAAGCCCCCAGGTCCCAAGTTCAAAACTTTCTTGGGCCAATCTCCTGGGCATAGCGCAGTTGGTTAAGAGGCTAGCCTCAGGTTATTGCTACCACAACACTTGGTGTAGGCCCAATGCTCCCCTGCTGCACGAATCTTAACTTAAGCGGAGCTTATCTTGAGCGGTCGGGGCAAGTTCCCAAGTTATAGTCTCCTTACTCGGAACGAACAAGAAGCACCTTGGTGATCTCTACAAGGGATGCTGCCTTGGACCTGCAGAAGAGTAGGAGGATTTTCTTATAACCAAAAAAAAATTCAAACAACAACAACAAAGATCTCATATCTGTGTTGACGAGAGAGGAATTGGCAGGAGGTGGAAGCTTCTTCTTGAGAAGTGGATCATGATGATGAGTCGCCATGAGCCGCCTCATCCACACATTGCAACTCTTATCATATACCTTTGCTGAATACTAGAGAGAGAGCCTAGAGAGAGAGAATGAATATCGAAAAGAACCATTTCTCTGTTAGATCTTGGATCTACGAGATCCTCTCTCTGATCCTTGTCTGGTTTTCCTACGGTGGCTCTTGCGATGGCGATGGTTGTCGGAGAGGGGCAAGAACAAAGAGGAATAGAAGAAGAGAGAAAGAACAAGAAGTCATTGTCATCTTTGGTTTCTCCGTCACCGCTGACAAAAGGAATGAAGGCTTTTCTAGCGAAGGTAAGGCGAGTGCTGGAGGTGGTGGAGTTCTAATGCTCACTGATAGGGAGGGATAATGATTCGTTTTTTTGTGTTATAATTTAATATAAATTAAAATTATTATATATATATATTTATTTAATTTATATTTTTTATATTACGAACGGATGGCGTCATGTCATGCTGGGTTGTGTTCATGTCGTGTCATCTCAGACTAATATCAGAATTACTTTAATACTAACTCAACCCCGTTTATTATTTCGTGTTATCGTACTGTGTCATTTTTTATCCGTGTCCGGTTCGTGTCATGTCAAAAAATTTCACTATTAACTAAAAATATCAAATGTACGAACAAAATTTGAAAATTTCTTCACAAGCTAAATTTAATTAAACTAATCTCTATTAAATGAAATTATTTATAAAAAATATTTTATGTCAACTTAATTTTATTTTCTTAATTTATAAAAATTATATTTTATTATTATATTTTATAGTAGATTAACTCAAATAAAAGACGAAAAATACATTGAGTTCAATTAAAAGTAAAAATTTAAAATTGTATTTTACATACTTTTTAATAAATATGATGTATACTTTTTAGTAGAATAATATTAAAATATGTAACTAATTATTCATTATATGAGTTATCCGTGTCAATTTCGTGTTTTATAGATTTGACACTAATCTGATCTGTTTAATATTCATGTTCTAGGATCATATGATAGATATGTTCGTGTCAGGAAATGGTCAATCCTAACCCACTAATTTTATGTACAGTTCGAGTCATGTTATCGTGTCGCGTTATGAATTTCCACTCGTAAATGATAGAGTTAAAATTATTAAAATATACACAAATAATTTATCTAAAATTATTATATGCATTGATTTCAGTAAAACTAAAATTATCAAAATAATAAAAAAAAAATATCGTTTACCTTTCACTTTTTTTTCTCTCTCTCTCTCTTATGTAGCGTATCTCTTTTTTTTTCTTCTTTTTTTTTTTTAAATTAAAATTCTAGATCAATATACCCATCAAAATTCTTTCTAAAATCTAATATTTAAAAAACTTTTACTTAATATAAATTACCCATAAACAAGATTTAATAGAATTATACATACTAAAAATAATTTACTAATTAATTTTATTCTACTTTTTTCACTTTTTTAAAGAATTAAATATTAAAAATATTTATTTTTATGAAATTTATTATATATATTTATGTAAGTTACAGAAATAAAATTATTAAAATACACATAAATAATTTATTTAAAATTAGTGTATTTATTGATTTAAGTAGCTCTTTTATGGAACGATACAACTAAAATTATTAACAGAAATAATTAGAATCATTATTTAAATTTGGGCAAATTACATATACCTCCCTTGAGATTTGGCTAAATTACAGATACCCCCTGAGATTTTGAAAATTACATCCCGCCCCCTAAGGTTTGTATTTTCATAACAATTTGCCCCCAGAGGTTAAATTTCATAACAAATTACTCCCTAATTTGTTATGCAAATATGGCATTCAGGGAGGAATTTATAATTTCTCAAACCTCAGGGGATATTTGTAATTTAGCCAAATCTCGAGAGGGTATATGTAATTTGCCCTTTAAAATTTAAACTATTTCTTCTTTTTGTCTCCAATTTAATGATTATTTTAAATATTTTATATATTCAAAAATATAAATAATTTAACTAAATTTTATTTAAAATATTTTAAAATAAATATGTTTAGCTCCTTCATTGCATGAATTAACTACTAATTTTAATACATATAACATCATTCTTCTCTCTACTTTTTATTTTTTTTCCCCACAAATTTCTTACCAAATTTCAGATCTATTTTAACCATATATATGTGTGTAAAATTCAATTAAGAAAAGGAAACTCATAAGCAACTTAAGTTTCGTTTGAGAAGTGGATTTGCACTTTAATTTTTTTAACTATTTTAATTTAGATTAAAAAGTCTTATTTGAATTAGTCCTTTTAACTTTTTTAATTTTTATATAAAAAAAATAAAAATTATAAATTAAATATAATATTTTATTTTATTAAATTAAAAAATTTATTTTATTTTTATGATTATTTTAACTAAAAAAAACTCCCAAAGCTCACTTGCCAAAGGCTAAGTTGTAGTTGGACACGACACTTAAATGTCGCCGCCAACAGATTATGCATCAATAACAAATATAACCTCCGCCAGTAGAAAAAATATGCGATTTATCAATTTGGAAAATGCTTATGACTTCGAGAAGTGGGTCGATTTTTTAATTATTTTAATATATAATTAAAAATTTTGATTTGGAAAATTATTTTAATTATTTTAATATAGAATTAAAAATTTTGATTTAGAAAGAATTTTTTTGATTATTTTGACTTTTTTTATAAGAGAATAAATGTAATGATTATGAGTGGGATGTGATGTTTTATATTATTAGGTTAAAAAGTCTATTTTTTTTGTGTGTGACTAAAACAGTAAAAGAAATCTCAAGATTGGCTTCCCAAACGGAGCTTATGTTAGTTAAATTTTTACGGAATAATGGAAATAAAAATAAAAAGAGTGATTTAATTAAATATTTTAACTTTAATTAAAAAGTCACAATTCCAAACCGGCCAACATGTTACCTTATTTTTTATGTCCTAACACAATTATGAATTTTTTTCTTTCTACCGATCACAACCCGCTTCAGATGCCGCCCAATCCTCCCACCTTAACAGCACTAATTCTCGCACCATTAACATTCTACCAATCATATTGATAGAAAAGTATACACACAAGAATATCTTAATATATTACAAATTACAAAAGTGCATAGGTAAGCCCACTCCATTGACTTCTAACATTGTTATTTTAATCAAGTACTTCCCTATTGTTTATTTGCATTTAAATCTTATTGATATAAATATTTTTTTCTAGTATATGATGAGGAATAGATATATTCTTAATTCGAATTTAATAATGACAAATCATCAAATTAATTATTCAAAAAGTTCCCTCAATGTACCAAAAAATATTGAAAATATATGTTGTTTGCAATCAAAAGCAAAGAAAATTAAGTAATTATTCAGTAATTTTAAAGTATAGATACGTAATACTCCATAATATTTGTGATTGGTGAAGAATGTGAGTTGATGAACTATTGTGTTAGGTGATTGAGGGACATGAGGGGACATAATCTATAATGATTGGTTATGAGTACGGACACGTAGTCTCTGAGAACATTTTATAATTTCTCTATAAAAGAGTAATTATTCGTTAATCCCAAAGTATAGATACATGATATTTCATAATATTGTAATTGGTAGAAAAGATAAGTAAGTGAAGTATTGTATTGAGCAATTGAGAGACACGACGGGCATAAAATATTATGCTAATGAAGTTACTTTAATGAAAAGGTTTATATGAATAAAATATTTTCTTAACTTGTCTTCGAATTGTAACATTTAATAATAAAGGAGAGATATCAGGGTTATCACAAATTTAAAATATATATATTTATAATTTATTTAAAATATCAATATATAATTCAGATTCATTTTACATATGAATTCAAAAATACATAATTTCAATTTTACCACACAATTTATTCTTGGCCAAAATTTGAGACTCAAAATTTGAGTCCTTAGGCTTTTTGATAATAAATATTGATTATTTTGATGTAAATAAAATCAGTAAATATTCTGTCACCCACTAATTTAATTGTGAGCTATTACTATCATAATAACGTGAGATTACTCATTCATTGATGATTTCACCTTATAATATTACATTATATTTAATATTCGACGTCAGTAGAAAAAAATTATATTATAAAATAAAAATTTATAATTTAGCTCAATGTAAATACATGTCCAACAAACATTTATATTACTAAAAAAAAAATCATTAATAACACTAATACATTAATAATGTTAAAAAAAAAAAAAACAAAATCACCAACTACATCATTAATGATGTTATTAAAACACCACTTTTAATGCTTTTAATTATTTTTTATGCATGTCTAAGCTCGAGTGGCATTCAAAAGTCTGAGATTCGCAGCCCCACCAACAACATCCGTTAGATACGCGCCTACCAGAGCGTACTCTTCAAACGCTCTGACGTCAGCTTTAATCCGAAAGAACTCCGGGAAAAACAGCCAATAGCCGGTAACCATCACGAATCCAAGGGTGAGCGGCCTCGTGACTACCGGAGGCAACTGGCACCTGCCGGTCATCGCCTTCTTGACCGTAATCTCTATAACCATGCACGCTCCGTGAAGAACAAAGAACCATGTCATCTCCCAAGTGGGCCTGTTTCGGCCCAAATAGTAAAATATGAGTTCATGCATTAGGGCCGACACTACAAACGTGCTGAACACGGCAGGCAATGGGGCCCATTTTCGGCCCACAATCCTCGTCGAGATTCTGCGGACAGGATCGTATACGGTAGGGTGCAGGGTACGAGAGACCATGATGTTCCATCTTCTTCCCCAAAAGTCTTGAAGAGATGTTGAGAGGTATGGGTCGTTGAACTGTGGCTCGAGCTCTAAATTCAGGGTGGCTCGAGCCACGGCTGCGACCGCGGCTAGCATCAACTCCAACATGAAGTAGATGTGGAGGCAATACATGACCAACATGAGCTTTCGATGAACATACTCAGCCTGCTCTATGTGTACAAACATGGCCACAAGAGCAATCTTTATAGCATAATTCCCAAGAGATTTATGGCCTTTTTGGGTTTTTTGGGGAGATGGGGTTTCTTGGTTTAGAGGTTTATTTGGAGATGGCTTTTCTTTATTAGGGTCTGTTTGTGTGGTTTTGGGAGGTGGGTTTTGTTGAATCTTAATGGGGAAGCAACCAATGGCAAGGAATTTGGGGAGAGAGAGAGAGGGTTCAGAGAGAGGGCCTTTGCCAAAGGCAAGAGAGAGAAGTTTGAAGTTGGTAAGCCAGGCTATGAAGAAAGAACATATGCCACCAAGGTGCATAGAATAGAGGGAGAGAGGGAGGGCGAAGAAGAGGCAAATTACAGGGATGAATATGAGGAGTCTGGGTAGGCCTTTGGGGACAACCTTAGCTGCAACATGGCAGTAACAGAGAGATACAATCACTGATAACCATACCTTTATGAAGTTACTGAACTCCCATTCCAAGCTGTTGTTTTGGTAGAACTTCCCCTCCATCTTTCTTTCTTTCTTTCTTTCTTTCTCTCTCTTTCCCCCTATTTATATACGTGTGTCTATATTATAAATATGATGGTCTCTCTCCCCTTGATTTATGTATGTATTACCGATTGTAGATCATTGTCAGGTAGTTCTAGAATTAGGGCATGATATTTGAGACTATTTAATAATACAGAAATTAAAAGTAGAATTACATACAGAAAGCACATGAATAAGAAAGATTTGACAGAATTTCAAGCGGTGTCAAGGATTATTTGAGATTTACCTAGTCAACATATGTATAAATTGACTTGAAATTAGTTAAAAGAGTAATGATATATTTTTTAATTTTGAAATCTTAATTGAGTTTTAATAATGTGGTAGGAAATAAAAAATAAAAAAAATTAAGATCAAAATATCACATCACAGTAAGATTTACTCCCATTAGAGCTTATTAGAACTCTCAATTATTTTTCTTAATCAAAAAAATATATAAATTGGTTCTGACATCACTTATTAAAAATAAAAAATAAAAAAAATAAGAATTTATAAGATTTGTACGTGGATCCAGAAATTTGAGAAAAGCACAACCAAGATTGGTGAAGTTTAGGTTGGTTGGGAAAGTGAATTAATTTTTTGATTTTTTGACTTTTTAGTTATTTTAGTTTGGAATTAAAGAGTCTTGTTTGAGATAGATTTTTTTATTTTTTTTACTTTTATGAGAGAATGAATGTAATGATAATAGGTTAAATGTGATATTTTATCTTATTAGACTAAAAAATTTATTTTACTTTTTTATAATTAAAATAGTCCCAAACCCAACCCAATTACCAAACGAAGACTTTACTCTGGCTAGAAGTCGACCCAAGAAAGGAGGAATCTAGTGTGATTCAGGTGCAGGAAACATTGTATTACATATGTTAGGCTAAGATGAAGGCCAATGAAATGCTGCCACGTAAGCATGTAAGGGGGATATTAGTGTAACAAAAGGGGGGGGGGGGGCCTTAAACTTAAAAACACAAAAAATAAAAACAGACAAGGGGCTGGCAGCTGTTTGGCCAGAGTCTACTTGGTCAAAATAATTAATAAAATTAAAATGGTTAATAAAATAAAATATCATATTTAATTCATAATTATTTTATTTTTTTCTTACAATCATCAAATTCATTATAAAAAAAAAAAACTATCATCTTAAATATAACTTTTTTAATTAAATTAAAATAATCAAATACACAAAATAACTAATTAAAATAATTTATTTCTAAATGGAGCCATCGTGTTTGAAATAAAAGAGTGGTGGTTGGGAAATAAAACTAACATCTACAAAAACATGTGATTGCATTACCTAGTACAGAGATTTTTTCATGGGTACAATGTTCTCGTCTTGGAAAATGTCTCTGCTATATGTATCACGTTTTTGTTTTAACTGTTTTATGTTATTTATATATATAATATTAAACTAATATTTATCTTTCAATATTTATTCCATGATTATTTTCAAATAAAAAATAATTAATTAATATTCACCAATCATACAAATTGATGAAAAAAATTCATTATCGGGTTGAGATTTTTAACTTGATTTGCATGTAGAGTTTATCACATGCCTTATTTCGATAATTCTAATGATTTATTTTGTAGTATCTTTTGTAGTATCTTTTGTAGATATATTATTCGTAAAAAATTATGTCAATATTATAATTATAATTTTTTTATTTTATCATATTTATCTCAAAAAAATAGATGATAAATGTAATAAAATGAAAATATTATGATTATTAGATTTATTTAATTTTTTTCACAAATAATATTATTGAAAGACTATAAAATGAATAATTTAATTATCGAAACTGCTCAAATTCACTTAAGTTTAAATCTAAATATGAGAAAAGTCAAATTCATATTTATTTTATCATTTTTATAACATTAGTAAGCACAAAACGAATGATCAACAAGACAAAATGGATTACTCCACACCATTATGGAATGGTTGGTGTTCATAGCAAAGTTGTGATGATAAGACTTTAGGTTGAAGACGAAACCATGGTATGTTTGTGTCCACACGTATATGCTAAGATTAAATCCTCGTGTCATTGGTGGCCAAACTCAGGTGGTCTCAAAGCCACATGATTGGACGGTTGAGATCTTTTAGTGTTTTTTGAGGGTTAGATTAGATCATCCATAATTATTATACACTACAAAAATCTTTCACAATTGTACTAGATTTTACATTATGGAAGACAGGTGTGATACACCATCGTCGTACATGAGACTTACAATGTGTCTCACATTTGTCCCTTACTATATAAAAAAATTATGGGACTGGCTTTAGTCCAGTCTATCATCGAACTAGATCGTTCTGTTGGGTCTGTGGAGATCCATCACGGGTTCCATTTTGAAAATTTGAACCGTTTAATGTGTAGAAATCGTCGAGTGCTGTATGTCTGTGAAAAATCACGTTGATCGAATATCGATAGCTATGCGATCAAAACAGTTTTTTATCAACCGTTAATTTATTCACCGTCTATTTTTTTTTATACAAAACTGATTTGGTCACATAGTTACCGATATTCGATCAACATGATTTTTTACAGCTATATATTACTCGACGAGTTCTACACATTGAACGGTTCAGATTTTCAAAACGGGACCCGTGGTGGGCCCCCATGGGCCCAACAGTACGGTCTAGTCCGATGGCAGACTAGACCAAAGCCAGACCCAAAAATTATATATATATATTGTTGGCTATATATTTTGTATAGGCTAATCACAGTTCTACACGTGACAGGATGAGGGCAATACGGGAAGACAATTCAAATCTTCAATTATTATCACACACGTGACAGTTAATATTGGTTATTGTAGATCTGCATATCACTGGATCAACAAAGAGATACAAGATGACGGGGCTTTAACGGTTACACATATATTTAAATTCAAAGTCAGGAGGGAAGCCTAACTGCAGACATGGCATAGTGGAGCTAACTGTAAGGAAACATCAGCAATCATGTTGGGATGGTTCGACAGTTAGAAGTTTATTTCGATGGTTGTCATTAAGAAGTATAAATAGAAGAGAAGGCCCCAGAAAGAGCCCCCAGACTGTAATCCAAAAAACTAGTTTTATCTACTTTATTTTCCTTTCAGTTTTTACATTTCTTGTTCTTTACATTTCTCTACTTCAAATTCCTGCACTGCACTTCGTTCATAGGAGTAGTTTCAAGTAGTTCGTTGCTGTAAACCTCTACGAGGTTGATTTGGATCATTGTAAGTCTTCCATTTTACTTAATGAAATGCTAGAATTGGTCTTCATTTAATCGTTGTTTGCATAATTCTCCTAAACAAAGCTATCAGTAAAAGTCCTCTTCATTGAGACTGAAAGAACTAAAACACAATCGTCTGATAATTGGTTGGCAATTAATATTCTGTAAGGACTGATTGATCCTTACTGGCACACTCAAAATTACAATAATAACCTTCGAAAGCCAAAAAAGCCAACATATATTTTTGGCATGCCCAGTGGGACTAATTAAAATTACTAAACATAGGAGACAATGAGAAAATGAACGCTTGGAAGAAGACGTGGAAAAAGCAGTAGAAATGCCTAATCCAGAGGATAACGTGATAACACATCCTGTGGAAGTACCTGTTTTATCAGAACCTATGGTCGAACAGACTAGCATTTCGGAACAAGTACCACATGTTCAAAATATTGGACGAGGCCAAGAAATTGGACCATCCACTATTCCATCTACTTAGCCAATGAATCCATAGGGTGGCCTAGTAGATGTCATGGGACAGCAGTTAATGAACACAATGAAAAGATAGACAACATCCTTCATAGATCGAATGAATACCTATCAACCAACAAACACAAGACATATGGAGAAAATTTCGAATGTCCCACAGCAAAGATTGGCTAGAGATAAACAACCTATGCAAAATAATGGACATTCTAATAGTCAAACTAGTAATCAAAACTATAAAAGACCATTACCTCAGCCTTGGTATGAGCCTCTTTCAAGGCTTGTAAAAAATCAAAATGCCTCATTACTTAACAGTGAAACCATACAAATTGGTGGATCTGGGCCAACACAAGAAAATGGCACAAGGATGTTTCCAAATCCCATGTTCGAAGCCATACCTAGCACAAGGGGATTCACTAATCCTTTGTTCGAATTTGTACATCGGGGGTTGGAAGGGTTTCCTGCGACTGGAAGAGACACAACACCTGTTAGGGGTCTTTTCGTAGGACAGGCTTAGAGGGGTTACCCATACCCTCAACAGCAGCCAGCACCACAAAGACAACCAGTCCCAAATATATCGCCCTATGGACCAAGAGGACCTCAGGCACAAGGTAGTCCACCAAATCTTGTGTTTGTTCCTCCAGTAGTGGTTCAACCAGCACAAAATATGGTTCTTAGGGACCAAATTGCTGATATTGTTAGAGAGATGTGTGGACCGATGGCTCGGGGGGTTCAAACTCCTGTGTACAGGAAACCATATCCAGAATAGGTAGATAGGGTACATGAATATCCACGAGGATTTAGGATACCAGACTTTGCTCTTTTTTATGGGAATGGAAACCAGTCAACGATGGAGCATATTGCTAGGTTCGCTGCTCAATGTGGTGAATTTACCAATAATGATTACATGAAGTTAAGATTGTTCCCAAATTCTTTAACTGGGGCAGCTTTTGTATGGTACATTAACCTTACACCTGGCTCTATCTAAACTTGGCAACAAATAGAGGAAGCATTTCATGCCCAATTCTTCCAAACGGAGCTAGAAGTTTCCATGGCAGACTTGGCAAGGTTGAGTCAAAGGCTTGATGAGAAGGTTGCTCAATTTATTACCAGATTCAAAAGAGCACGAAACAAATGTAGGATCATCCTACTAGAGCCTGAGTTGGTGAGATTGGCTCAAAATGGTTTAGAGTTTAGGTTTCGAAAGAAGTTTGACTCAATTGAGTTTAGAGACTTAGTGGAACTAACCTATAAGGTGTCTAGGTAAGAAGCATTATTAGAAGAAGAACAAGATCGAAGTAATGCAGCATACAAGACGTATTATAGAGATCCTAATTATGAGATTGATGTAGCAGAGA